AATATCCATAAATTTTATATTTTCACTACATCAAACCATAAAAATATTGTTTACATTCAATATGATTGGAGGCTTAAGCTTTTATCTTTCCTTGATGTAATTTTTAATTTTCTCATAAAATAAAACTCCAGCTTTTAGGATCGGACCAAATAAAGCTAACACTAAAAGGCCAATCTAAATAAATGCAACTAAAGTTCTTTGATTCTGATTTAGCAATTATTTAAACTCAGTGCAATAAATCAAGCTGATTAATGTAAATAACATTACTGGAGCTTCCATCCAAACTATCACTAATAGATCAAGATTTGAAGATGTAAATTTTATCATATTTAACAAAAATATATAGCTGAACAAGATAAGAGTGAGTACTATGCATTGATAAATTTATTCTTTTTGCATTCCAATCAAAATTATTATAAACGTCAATTTTTTCATTAAGATGACTCCTTCATGTTATTCCATTCTTAGATTTTACAACACAATCTTTTAATTCTACCTTTTAAAATGTTAACAAAAAAAAAAACAAATTAATCCCAAATAACCTATGCTGACACAATTAGACACCAAATATCTTAGTCCTGTTTAATTGTTTGATACCAAATACATGATCACTTTAAAAATTAAATCCCAACTATTTGCATAAAATAATTATGTGAATCCATTTGTTGTGTAAAGAGCTCACATCCCAATCATTTTTATAACAGTGAAAGAAATTAAAAATAAAGCAACTTATTTTCATATGTTGTTTGAACTAGCTCTTTATTTTGTTCAGAAATATTAAAACGATTCTTTCCCCAAAAACAAATCTTGCAAAGATAATAAATTATAAAAATAATATCCAATTTTTCCTAATGATGAGAGGGACCTTGAAAATAAAGAAGAACCTCATGATTCAAAATGCATGAGAAAAGCCTAAGTGATACAAAACTAATTGATATCCAAGTGTAATGAAAATCTGGCACAATCAGTCTCCATCTGAATATTGAAGGAAGGACTTTTTAAAGCTCTGTTTAGAGGAACGAAGACCAGCAAATATCTTATTAATCTTTTAATTATTTCATTATTCTTCCATATTTATATTATAAAATCATAATTCCCTAAATGAATTTTGCTAGGAAATGAGAAAATAATTACATATTTTCCTAACTCTTTTTAGCAAGTGTATCTATTTACTTATTTTATTTATTTCAAAATTTATTTACTTTTTTTTGCACATTATTTCGTCTACAAAAAGTACATGATTAGTTTTTCTAAAATATATTAAATCTAAACATTTATCAATTCTAAATAAATATTTGAGTCATAAAAAAAATATCGACTGAGGATATCTATGTTAAATTATTCATGACTATGGATTGGAAATCCATTGAATTTTTTGGTATGTTCGAATCAGCAGACGATGATTTTTTTTATAAATACAAAAATATGGCTTTGAATTTAGTTTCCTTAGTATATTCCACTAGAGGATCGAGGCGATCGAGGATTTGATTAAAAGTCGTAAACCATTCACCAATAGCCGTTTTTTATTTTAAGATTCCTGCTACAAATTTCACACTTTCTATCCAAAATCTATAATATTCGCTTATTTACTTTCTATCATTGAATCTTTATTTTTACAAAATAAATCAGTAGAAATCAATGACATTGCATGTAGATAATTGTATAGATACCAAAATAATGATCTATAGTATAAGGATTAATTTTTATGATTAGGTTGTTTTAAAAGTTCTAATTCTTATTAAATAACAAAAGATTATTATTATTATAATTAGAGAATTTACTAGTCATGTTTATCGGATTATTGTTATAAAATCTAAAGCATTTCCAGGTGTTCATCGTTTATTTTTATACATCATCTTTTTAAAAATATTAAATTTTTATAAAAAATTCTATGCTTCTTTTAAAGATATTGATCGTTCTCTATGTATTGATTAATCTTTAATTTTCTTTAGCTCTTAGTCTATTTTAATTAAGAGTTTGATCTTTTTATTAATATATTTCAAATTCTCTTAATTGGTGTGAGATTTTATAAAATATCTAGAGCTTTTTTTAATTGTTCTCGGGATTCAGGAAGTTCTTTAAGAGTATAATAGGTAAATCCTAATTCAGCATTGTATAATGGATCATTTGGTTAGTATTAGATGGCACTCCTATAATCTTGGATAGTTAAGCCATACTTTTTCAAATCATCATAAACAATTCCTTATTATAAGATATCAATATTATATATCTCGATTGTAATACGCATCAGAATATTATGGATTTATTTAGATGGCAGTCGTATAGTCTTGGATAGCTTGGTCATATTATTCAATGCTTTATAAGAATTTCCTTATTATAAGATATTAATATTATACCTCGATTGCTATATGCATTAGCATATTATAGATTTATTTAGATGGCACTATTGTCTATATAGGAGTTGAATCTTATATTGAATATAGTTTAAGATTTCACATTTATTATGGAGCAAACAGATATTTGTCATTGTCTGACCAAATTTAGAAGTAAAATCAAATTTTTGTCTGGAAGATTACTTTAGTTCATTGCTTTTTACATCTGTCTCATCTCTTTGAAGTTAGCCACAAAACAATCTCAATCGTACCTTTCACCCCCTGTTATCATTCTTTTAACAAATATGTAGAAATAACTTAAGTTCAAACTTTAATTCTTGGATATACAGTATTATTTATGTTTCGAGAAATATTTCCATTAAATGCATAGCCTACATAAACCTTTAATTTCAATTTTCAACATTCTTCTTACAATTCCTTAATATTAAAATGTATTCATTGTCATAAAACTTACATTTCCATTCAGACATAAATCATATCCAAAACAGATTGCAATCTTTTAGCATTTTAGCAGAAAGTAAGTTTACCAGAAGCATGTGAGAATGCTTAACTATGAAGAAAATAAGGATATTTTTTAATAATTTAGAAAATTACTTCCATATTTGCTATATACTAATTAAATCATTTTGTTAAATAGTGATAATTGTTTGACTTTATTTTGTTAAATGGTTAATTCGTAACTATATGTAAGAACAATTTAGTTATGAGAATCTATTGTGTCAATTTTTTTACAATTAATAATTTATTTTTTTCAATTAGATACTAATATACGATCAAGAAGAATGTGAAAACGATTCTAATTCTACTTTATGTAAAAAGAATCGTAAAATATTCAATCTCAAAAACAACAAAAATAGTGCCATAAACTTAGATAGCTAAAAGAAATTATTTTATCAAATATGCAATAAATTATAAACCTATTTTAGCTAAAATAGCAACAATAAATGTAAATTTTATCAATTATTTCAAGAAATACCTAAACAATTATATAACTATGAAATAAAATTTAAGCAAAAAATCTTTAAAACAACTATCTAGAAAAATAATTAGATTTTAAGCTGTTACAGAAGATTATATTTAAAAAAATGATTAAAATGAAAATAAATTTGTAAAATTTTATTCGTATAACTAGATATTTTAATAGTAAGTTATAGAGGAAAGAAAAAAAAAGGCTTTATAAATATTGTAGAAAGGTAATTGTATTGGTGAATATTAATTTGAATATTTTTGATTATGCTACCCAAAATAAAATAGAAAAAAATGGATTAGAAAATAATTGAATTGCAATTATTAGTAGCATAATCTATTGTAGCTGAATATAGATTAACACGAATAGAATGGTTAAAATGATAAATAAACACACTTGGTGAATAAGATTAATATTAAAAAAATGGTTATGCAAGAAACACAAGAGAATA